GCCAGCTCTCTACCTTTCCCTGTCATTGTGCCAACATTAAGAGTCCCTATTCTCAGACCTATACTCCTGCCTTTCCTGTTCTCTCTCTGTCTACGAATCCTTCTACCTCCTCTCCTTCTTTGACCAACAGTAGTCCGATCTCCGCCAGCACCCTGTAGGTCAACAGCACTGGTGGCGGTCGTTGTTAACCCGGGCCTCGACCGATCCGGTATGGAATTCGCACTGAAGATTCGCATGTTTAAATTTGGCATGTTTTTACGCCGGATGCCCTTCCTGATGCAGCCCTCTCTTTTTATCCGGGCTTGGGACCAGCACAGAAGTCACTGGCTTGCAACCCCTGTGGCTAGATTACTAAGCGGTATAGAAAATGAGATGAGAAATTCAGATATCTCAAAATTGTACTTAAGTACAGCACTTGGCTAAATGTACTTGGTTGCTTTTCACTTCTGATTACAATACATTGAAGTAGGTTATTTCTGCATTCTGAAACAGAAACGTGAGATTAGTGTTCACAGATACATTGCGAATTGAATATAACCTTTTACACAGATGCACTAAACTTGTAATACAAATTTTTGTCATCTGCTTTCAAAAGAGAGAAGAAGCTGTCTTCTTTTGTGCCGACGCACGTTGCCATGGGGACTGGAGGGTTGCTATCCACGCTGAGAGGGAAGTCGAGCCGTCAGGCAGGGTTAGAGCAGAACCTGTTGGAGGAGTACAGGAAGATCAGCACATCTGCTGGAAACCCTCTGGAGTCCACTCAGCTCCTGCACCAGTACCTCAACACATGTCACACTCTGCCTTATTATGGGTAAGAACTTGTGTAATGAGCTATTTATACTCCATTATTGTTTATATATAAAAGTCAGCCTTAATACGTAAAGGTAATAATTACAGGTAATACACTGTGGCTTTGGTAAAGTATTCCAGACCTTTAGTGTGCTATAGAGTTCAAAGTTCAAAGTGTTTATTTTGTCATCACCACAGTTAGGAAACGTGTTTCCCTGTACAATGAAATTCTTACTTTGCCGTCCACATGAATGCCACAAAATACAAATGAAATATAAAGTAGATAAATAACACAAAATCTAAGGCACTTTAAGCAGTGCAGATGCAGCAGTATAGTAGAAAAAAAAACAAGAATATAACAGAATGTATGCTGCATGTGAGCAGCATGTGCAGCAGTCAACAGTCATTGTGCAATTATGCATGTGCAAACAGAATGTAAACAATACATGATGTATTTCCTGGTAATAAACTCCTCAGCTGTCTGATGGCAGAGGGAAAGAAAGAGCTTTTCAGTCTAGTGGTCCTACATTTCACACTTCTGAACCTCCGGACAGAGGGCAAAGAAGTGAACAGTCCGTGCTGGTGGGGGGGTGGGATCTTTGAGGATGGAGGCAGCCTTCCTACGCACCCTGCGGTGGTAAATGCTCTGCAGAGAGATTTCACTGTAAATAGAATAAAACTACCATTTTTGCCCATCAGTCTACACTCACTCATCCATAATGGCAAATTGAAAACATGTTTTTAGAAATGTTTGCAAATTAATTAAACATAAAAAATTGAAATCTCATTTATAAAATATTGTATTGAGAGTCAGTTAACTTTGAGTAGGCTCAAGGCTGCTAGCACATATAATATACCTGGCCAAGGAGAGAAACTATGAGCTAGTCAGGGGAAAACTGCATTTCTCTGTGATGGACTTTTGCTAGATATTTCAACAAATTACTTGTGTTTCTGCCCTTACATACAAAAGAGTAAAAGCGAACCTGGAGACCCTTATGTTCACAATGCACAGATTAAGTAAACTGCAACGCAGACTTGAAACAAATCAAACTGAGACCACTTCCTGAAGAGGTTTATGTTTGTTTCATTTCAGAGGGGTCTGAGTTGGTTTGGAGTGTTCACATGTATGCAAAAAAAAAAACCTGACTAATGGCTCCGAGTTCATTTTTAGGGCTAAAAGATACCATGTGTAAACAAAACCTTACTTCAATACTTAGTAGAAGCCCCTTTGGCAGCAAATACAACTCAAGCTCCATCAGACTGGGCTTTAGCTTGGCTCCTCAGGGACAGTCAGAGACTTGTCCTGCAGCCACTCCAGTGTCATCTGCTTCAGGTCACTGCTGTGCTGAAAGGTGAAGTGCTGCCCCCGGTCTCAGGTCTGCACTGTGCAGCAGGTTTTCTTCAAGGACCTCTCTGTGTTCAGCTGCATTCATTCTTTACTTAGTTCTGACCAGTCTGTCTGTCCCTGCTGCTGAGGTGGTTGCCCTTCCAGCAGCTTCTCCATCTCTGAAGAGTATTCTGAAGCCCTGTTAGAATGACCATTGGGTTCCTGGTCACCTCCCTGAACAAGGCCCTTCTTGCCTGGTTACTCAGTTTGACCAGATGACCAACTCTAGGACGAATCCTGGTGGTTCTAAACTTCTACCAGTTCAAAATTATTGAGGTGGCTGAGCTTCTGGGAAAATGTGTACAAGCAAGTTTTAACATTGTTAATATGGGTTAATAAGTGTAGATTTTGGCAGTACAACGGTGCAGTTTTTAGCACTATCGTTTGGCAGCAAGACCCGGGGCCTTTCTGTGCGTAGTTTGCATATTCTCCCTGTGCCTGCAGGGGTTCTCTCCAGGTACTGTGGAGTTTGCATGTTCTCGCTGTGCCTGTGTTGGTTCTCTCTGGGTACCCTGGCTTCCTCCAACAGTCCAAAGACATGTGATAGTGAATGTGTGTGGTTGTTTGTCTACATGTCAGCCCTGTGATAGACTGGCGACCTGTCCAGGGTGTACCCCTCCTCTCGCCCAATGTCAGCTGGGATTGGCTCCAGCTCCCCGCGACCATGTTCAGGAATAAGCGGTATAGATAATGGATGGATGAAATGTAGCTTTATCTGAAAAATGTAACCATTTAAAACCATGTGCATGGCAGTTTACTATGAAAGTCAGTGTCTCAAATAATTGACATACCTTGATAAACTATATTTATTTTTAAATTGACTTCAACTGCACAAACAGGTGCGCTTTCTTTTTTGGTGAGATTGACAAACCACCACAAGGGATCCTCCAAAGGGGAAGACGCAAAGCTGTCAACATTGGCATCTGCCTGGAGGGAGTTTATGTGATGGATGTCAAAGAGAAGGTGAGCACTGGAATTGTTTAGGGTTGACTCTCTGTACTGTATATGTGTGCATAATCTGATCATGTCGAGATGCTGAAAGTCGTTCTGGCCTGCTGAATTCTCTTCTTCAACATGCTTTTTTGCAGCATGTGCTGCTTGGCCTGCGTTTCAGTGAGCTTTCCTGGGACCACAGCTACCCTGAGGAGGAGAGGGACTGCCACATTCTGTGGCTGGAGTTCGATGGAGAGGAAGATGGCACTCCTGTGAACAAGTTGCTAAAGATCTACTCTAAACAAGTAAGAAAATGTTGAATGTGAAAATGAAATAAAATCACACGCCATCTGATAATGGTGTTCTTACTGTTCTATCTGTACATTTGGACCTCGTTTAGACTTTTGTTTTTTTTTTTTCCCCTGGGCGATTGGATCACAAGTAGACAGCATAAAATACAAGTGTAAACGAACACCAAGACGGATTGTGATCCGATCACTGAAACCACTTGCAGAGGTGGTTTAGGACGCATTTGACCACACATCTCTGTAGCATGAATGCCAACAATGTGTCCTGATGAGTCTTTGACAAGGCCATTTGAGGAAAATACGCCATCGATGCAGGATGTAGTGGTTGTTTTGGTGAGAGCGCACAACACTCAGAAAAAGAAAAAAATGCAGAGAAATGTCCAATACAGATCTGCCAATGTACAAGTCTGATTCTTGTTTTCTTCTTATTTTGTTAGGGAGACTACTGGCACTTGTCTGGTTATAGACTGACATAACTTTACCTGTGGCCTTTTGATATTTAAGCAGAAGTATTGCAGCAGTAGCAGTAGTGGTCAGCTGGGATGCATGTATATTAACAGATGTGCACAGTCATGTGTCTCGGTTGTCCACTTGTGTTCAGATTACTGAGATGCATTTCAATGCTAAGTCTAAATGGGGCCATTTTTACATCTGTGTGGTGGAGTCTCACAAATCTGTATGCATACTGTAGCTTTAGGTCACCTCAGAACGGTTGAATGTGTCATGTTAATTGGCTTCTATTGGGTCCTGACCTGGCTGATATCTCCACCATCTCTTTTGTAGCTTGAACATCATTTTAAGAATGTTTTGCTGCTGGAGCAGGTGACAGATGTTTTCAATAAGTAGAGAGGATATGCAGCCATCTCCAGTGTGCACTGCACATGGTGTAGTAGCTGTTCCCATTTGTTCCTAATGGAGCAGAACACTTGATATAAGGGTTGAAACTTAAAAGATTTTTAATAATTCTATGTACTCTCTAAGGCTATCACAATTTATTTAAATATGAAACTTTTGAAAATTCACTAATCGGCTTCATAGTGAATTACATGTCCTGTTGACCTCTCAGTAAAGTAAAGCCAATAACATGTTTGTGAGGACAAAATGCGGGATAGTAGCAAGCAAAGTTGTGCTGATCGGACAATAATGACACCAGAGCGGTGTCAAGGTCATAGGTTTGCTGACTCTGCAAAAAAGCAAATGCCTGCTCAAGTACAACACATCTGAGGACTGACCTGCAGTCTCACTACACAAGTGAGGCACTGACGTTACCACAGACAAGTGGATCAGTGTGCGATCAGTGTGCGTTCTATGCCTCACCTGACCGGCCTACCCCTGCAGCTTACTTTCCCTGAAGAAGACCAATGGGTTGAAATGTTGACTACATGTTCTAAATACAAGCTTTCAGTGCATGGCCATTTTTTTTTCCATTCTTCTACCCCTGCAGCATGTCATGATAATGTAGCTAAACTCTACTGAAACAGCACATAAATCAGCCAAAGCAGTGAGAGGTACTGTCAAATAAGCCTAAATCTATACTTTATATTTTAAATTTTTGGAAAGGGTGTTGCATTTGAATCATTTTTAACTAATTTCATGTCAGTTTAAATATTGTTGGAACATGATTTTAAAAAAAAAGTTACAGCCCTCTTGTCTATATCATCTGTGCTCAGTGACTGGAAAAAGGCCGAGCCACCAGATGGTGAAGTAACATTTCATGTTGGTAGAAGCAGTCATACATGATCCCACTGGGCTCTAACACAGTGGGAATGTGACCCTTGTATGTTGCGGTTCACTAAGGGATTGTCAAAAATACAGGTGTTTCTTTGATAGACTTCCAAGCATTACCCTTGATTATTTGCTTTTTCCCCTCAAACCAGGCTGAGCTAATGAGCGGTTTCATTGAGTTCTGTGTGGAGCTGAAGTCTGCATGTGAAGGAGCTGCTGCAGCCGGGACAGACGGAGAGGTGAGTCTGTCTCAGCAGCCTGCTGCGCAAGACGGCAGCAACAAGAACGGACGTGGAGGACGGCGCGGGATGCTTCGCAGACAAAGCAGTGTTGTGTGCAGTCGGGTCCATTCACTTAACACTATCAGCTACGTGGACAACGGTGAGTTGACCTGTGCATTTAGCAGCCTGAAGCACAGTATCATGTCCTAGTATTAACTTCAACTGGAGAAAATGTTAAAATATTTGTCTGTTTTTGTCTTTCAGGAAAAGAAATCAAACGCTTAAAGCCAAAACGAGCTGCCTCGTTCTTCACCCGACAGGCGTCTGTGCCCACGTATTCTGCTGTGCAAGTGACAGAGAGTCTGGAGCAGGGTTAGACCCACTGACCTGCATGGCCCTGTTCCTTTCAGCGACCAAACCTTGCAACATTTTACACTGAGATTTAAAGCAAAGACTTGATACAAGCTTGAGACATTTGACTAATGATGTATGATCATGTAAAGGACCAAATGAGTGATCTAAGTGTGAGTGACGATATTTATCTTCTGAAGTTGTGCATATTAAGCGTACAGTGATGTGAAAACAAAACAACCTGTTAACAGCTATGCTTCCACAATTAAACTGAAGTGGCTATTAATCTGATGGCCTTACATAAGGACGATATTCTCTGTGCACCAGATGATGGACCTATTTTACAAGTGTGAGAGGAGCCTAAACAGTCCCTTATGAATGGTTGATAGCTCATGGCCTTTGTGACCTTTCTGGAGAAGGGTTTAGTGCTATTACTCAAAAATGTTAAACCTCAGATGAGTGTCACAACATTACCTCTTGTTTCTTTAAGTCTTTTTGGGGTTTGAATGTCAAGAATATTGCAGTATATCCCCCTAAGAGGTTTAACATTTTGTTAACATAAAAGTTACTACAGACTCTTTACAGTCAGCATGACGAACACTTTCAAGGAACGATCTATGGGTGTGTTCTCACTGTTCCAACTTTTTCAGACTGCCTGTGCCTTGTTCTCATGAAGCCACTATTAAGTGGTTGATCTCTGCTGATCATAAAAAGTCTGTATGGGAACACATTGGCTGTGTTGTGGAGGTTTCTTTTAAGTACACAAAGTTAAGATGTTTGATGTAGTTCATCTTTGCTACTATTTGCAGCTGGTTATCTCACAGGTGGCATATCTAAAAATATTTCTATTTGTAAAAGCAGAAGTGTAAATTTAGCCTAAACATGTTAAATGTTCTTATTAGAATCTCAAATTGAACATTCACAGTATCAAATCATTATTGGGGAGCATAACTTGATTAGCATCAATATAAAAAATGAGATTAGGGGCAAGACTTACCCAAAATGTGTTTATTAAATCAGTTAAAAGAAAAGTAAAGAAATCTAGTAAAAGCTTTTGTCCTCAGCAGGTAATGCATTATACCAAGCTGTTATTCCTGCCTCTAAAGGGACTGGACTGTGGTTCCTGTTAGCATGTCATATTCAAAGTTTAACTTCCATCCTAAAACTTGCTTGATAGACCTAATCTGACACGAGTGGCTAAAATAAAAGAAACTCTCCTGTTTAACTGCTGTCAGCACTTTAACTAAACAAAATGCAGCTTACATTTCTTACATTTTGGCTCATTTAGAAACTATCATAAAATCAATCATCAAATCTGAAAAATTGTTATGAAATTCTGAGATATATGTTTTTCCCAGGACAGCAACAGTGTGCTCTGCTGTTATAGCCCAGAATAACTGACCAAGAACTTTTGACTATGCTATTGAAATCTGTCTGTACACCAAAGCAAACCTATCTAACATGTACCTTAACACTCCAGAGATTCATCTCAGTCTCCACCATGTCCTCCAGGTGTTTGAACATCACCCTAATACAGCCAGCTTGTCTTAACAAACAAGTGCACCTCAGTAATGGCCATTAAAAAAGGTATACAGTACATGTACAGCACGTGTTCAACGCTGCCTTCCACTTGAATGTATGTCCTAATTTGAGATGTGGTGGCATTGTGTATTCTTTGGAGCATGCAAATGGCAGAATGTTCTTATTTTCTATGCTTTAACTTGTATGTCAGCTGCTGTCTGTAACCCAATGCAGGCCAATACATTGATGCTAACTTAAACTATGCATGTCACACTGTAGAATAGGCATTCCTACTACACATGGGATACTGCACTACTATTACTAATACACTATTTATACAATATTTTACATCTGCAGATTTTGTATTAGCCTTTATGAGAGGCCACACCAGATGTACTTTTTTGTATACTTGTCAGTGGTTGTGCACTAGAAGGAAGAAGTAAGTCATTTAGCATTTTCTTCTCAAGCAGACACTGTGCAGAAGCATAAAGTGCCTTTTGTTTGTACCAAGTTTGTATCTTATTGACTGTTTTGGTGTTTGGATTCCAGGAATCTTGGCATTGCTATGGTTAAAAAAAAAAATTGTGTTTTGTAATGTATTTCCCACATTTCTCCTTTCCTAACTGATGTGACTGTATTGATCTACTGGATAGTTACAGTACTTTGGTTCTTGTACAGCAATCAGTAACTTTAGTCTTCTTTAAAAGCTTCCTTTTTTTTTTTTTTTTTTTAATAAACACGCTCAACGTGGCCCTGTTTTTCTGAGTTTGCTTGAATGAGCGGGGAAAACTTCACTGCCTACACCCTAAGTGTACTGAAGCCCAACTAATTTTAACTAACATGTTACCTTGCGTATGATTTTATTCAGCAACAGTATTTTACCCTATGTTCTGCTCAGACACTGGCTATTGTAGATCTCTTTTTACAATTAAAGCAACAACCTGCTTCTTAGACCTTAGGTACATTTAATAACGTTTGGAAAAAACAATTTTCCAAACAAAAACTATTTTTTGTTATATACTGTGCAGGGATGTAAGCATTAGTTATTGCAGATGTTTTGTGATCACTGCTGTTAAGCTTTTTATATGCACCTAAAAAATCTTTTAATATAATTACCAGTTACTTTCAAATACCTGAATGAAAAAACAGAATATTATTCTGCAGAAACAGTATTGTCCATGATGGAGTATATAGACTTTTTGTCACATTTGAAATCTTTGACCAATAAAATGAAATGTATTGATGAACCTGTTGTTTTTAGATTTATTTCTGCTTCTTTTCTGTCTTCAAAAGTCTGTCCATGTCTTGATTCCTGCTCTATCTGTGCTTGCAGTTAGTCTTTACAGCAAAAATTTGGAGAATAATTCAGTTTTTATTTAATTTTAATTTGCTTGAATGCTTATGATAGGTTTGCATTATTGGAGTGCTATTCGTTCTCGGATATCTATAACAAAAAATATCAACATTAATTTTTAAAATGCATATAACATCACGAGTCCAGTTAGCTGACGTAGTAAATATTATGACATGCGCAGTACAGCGCTTCCTGATTGTTCTCAGCATGGGTTGCCCTGAGCTACATCTCTCGCGTCAAATAACCGGCTGCATATACTCTTTGACGATGTGACACCGGATAGGCTACAAACCCGGAAACAGGAACATTTTCAGTGTTGTTTTTTTTTTTGGCTAGCTGTATGTGTTTTATGAGAAGTATGTCATTGTCTAATTAATTTCTAAAAAGCCTTGTTATTAAGAACATTCAGTTAAATTTTGTGGACATCATACTGTAAGTTACTTTGGAGCAAGAGCTTGCCATTTCCAGACTGCCGTTGACAGTTGTCTCCAGTCAGCTGGGCGGCCGTCATTTTATCTCTACGTTTCACAGTTGGTCGGAGTTCAGTATGGACGGTGAGGCGGACGGTTCGGTCGAGGTGTCGGAGGACTCCGGGCCAGGCAGAAGGCGCAGGGTGCATGGCATGCTGAAACTCTATTACGGTCTCAACGAAGAAGGAAAGTCCGTGGAGCAGCCGGAGTCCCTGGACCCCTGCGACATCAACGGGCCGCATTTTGACCCCGAGTTCTACCTCAACAAGGTGATTAGCCGCTGCTGTGTCATGTTAACATTATACAACTCATAAAATGACATCTGCACGGTTTAATTAAAGCTACAGTCAGTATTTATCTCCTAAGATTACAAGGCTATGAACTCATCTGCAGACCGCTATTAAATAATACAAGTTAGTATAACTTACAAATACAAATTGTTTCGATAAAAATACAAATTGCTGCCTGTTGCTTTCTCAGTAACTAAACACAAATGCCAATATCCAGAATGTTGTAATGTGGTATGAAGAATTATAAGGAAACACTAGAAAGTCTCTTTCAATGCGTCTGGGAATAGGAACACCGGTAAAGCTGTAGATAGTTGTGCTTTTATAAGAAACATACAGATAAGAGGGAGTATAATTCAGTGTTACTGGCTAATATTAATTAATTGGACTGGACATTTTACTGCACTTTAAAGCAAATTATTATAAAACAAATGGCCAGTATACACAGTAATTATATTATATGCACAGTTTGCACTCTGAAAACTATAATGGTGAGCTAGTGGATTCTATAGATTCTGCCAAGGAAAGCCCCAGGAAGTCAGGCTGTCTATTTATGCAGGCTTCCACACCCCATACACTGCACAACCTCTGATAGCCACTGCTTTTATTCCCACAACACTGAACATCAGAAATTATATACACATAGTTTTGCCCCAAAAGAACCCACCAACTCAAAGTTTCCTCCCTCCAGAACACCTGCTACACTGTGGGCAACCACACCAGTCCTCGCCTTCTGGGTGTGTAATTATCCATATGTGGTACTGTATGTCCTTGTGTGTATGTGTGCAGTCCATGGCACCCCCCGAGCACACTACACTATTTTGGTAGTGATTTAATGCACACACATTTTCTGGTAGTGGATATGTGGTAGGTTGGATCCAAGCGGCCAAGAATGTAGGAGACCAACTCAAAGAAATACAACATCAGGTTTCTCAAATTGATAATTTATTTTAAACAAGTGCCAGCAAAGTACACATGCCAAAACAAAATGGTTAACTTCACCTAACTGAAGAAAACTCAACTGTATGACTGTTGTCACTGTGTGCTTTGTGTCCAATTGCAGCTTAGGAGGGAGTGTTCGCTTGCTGAGTTGATGGACCAGGAGACCTGCATGGTCAAGCAGATTCGCTCTTTGGACAGTGACATGCAGACACTGGTGTATGAAAACTACAACAAATTCATATCTGCTACAGGTGAGGGAAAGTCTCACTCACTGTTAAATTACTGCTCTAAATATATAAAGAGTTGAATTGTGCATACTTTTATAAAGCCATCCTTTCATGTTTTTCCAGACACCATAAGAAAGATGAAGAATGATTTTAAAAAGATGGAAGATGAAATGGACTGCCTTTCTGCTAACATGGCAGCCATCACCGACTTCAGTGCTCGGATCAGTGGTACCCTTCAAGACCAGCACACACAGATTACAAAACTCTCAGGTGAGACCTAGACTCGTAGTGGTTTTTTGTTTATTTGTTTTTGAATCAGCTGTTTTTGTTCTGTTCTGCTTCATGATGGTTATTTTGACCATTTTTTGTGTCACCATGTCTCACTCCAGGAGTTCACACTCTGTTAAGGAAGCTGCAGTTTCTGTTTGAACTGCCTGCTAGATTGAATAAATGTCTGGAGCTGCAGGCCTACTCTCAGGCAGTGAGCACCCACCGCCGTGCCCGCTGCGTGCTGCTGCAGTATAGCCACCTGCCCTCCTTTAAGGGAATTCAGGATGACTGTCATGCCATCATGGACAAGCTGGCACAGGAGCTTCGACAGAAGTTCAGGTGGGAATTTCTTAAGCTGTATTCAGATTAAAGTAAAACGTTCTCTTCACAGATAGAAAAAAATTTGGTTTATAAAGATGCACCCAGATTCGATAAACCACAGAAGTAAAGATTAATTTAATTTAATTTTGTTCTTTCATTGTTTTATTGCAATTTCACTTTGTCATAATAATGTTCTGCTGAGATTGTGACTGAAATTTGGCCAAATGTCTTGTACTGTTTATCTACTTGAATATTTGCTGTAACTTGTATGTACTGTATGTTGTACTCACACAAAGCCAGAAAGTTGTCTGAAAAAGAATGGCCACCCATATTACAGGTTTTATCATTATTGTGTGTTACATAAACCTTTGCAAAATCCTTTTTGCTTACTGGATTTTAAAATGTTAAATGAGAACTTTGTGTCTCTTTTTTTTATGCACTCTAGATCAGCTAGTTCTGCCTGTTTTGTTCTTGTCTTATAGGGATGGAGGCTCAAGTTCCAAAGATTTATCTGAGTGTGTGGAGCTGCTGCTACAACTGAATGAGCCAGCAGAAGAGCTCTGTGATAAATTCCTGAGCCATGCACGGTCACGACTTGAATCAGACCTCCAGGGTCTGGAAGCAGAGATAAGACCATACCCCTCTGCCTCAGCTGTGAAAGATGCTTCTGCACACAGATCGTCATCTTCTGCAGCTGTTGGATCTCTGACTGATACCTCCCCCAAAACGAGCACTCTGCCTTCTCCCACCTCAAACACTGATATTCTGGAATTCATTGACAGAGGCTGCAATGAATTTGTCAGCAGCTTGTGTTTAGTAATTACATCCTATCAGGAACTTTTTATCAACCATGCTCAGGCAGGAGAGCTGGCATCCAAAAATATCCCACAGATGGCAAACAGCAAGCTGCATGCGTTTGTGAATGACTTAGCGGCTCGGTATTTCTCACTCGTGGAGCGGAGGATACAAGAGGAGAAAGGGGTTGCAGATAACTCCCTCTTGGTTCGTGCACTCGACCGCTTCCACCGCAGGCTTCAGGCTGTGGCCAAACTGCTGCCGGGCTCTGCTGTGCCAAACAAGGGGACTGAGATTGTGATGAGAGCAGCAACAGAGCGAGTCAAGCAGTACCTCTCTGCTCTGCAGAGCTTCTATATGGATAGCTTAACAGACGTGAGGCAGGCCCTGGCTACACCTCGGCTCTCTGTGACAGGTGCTTCAGTGGGTGGCAGCGGAGCGGTATCAGTTAGAGATGCTCCGAACAGCCTGCCGGAGCTGCTCTCCTCCCTGTCAGCCTCTATTCTCAACCAAATTAAGTCAGTATTGGCATCAGTGCATCTGTTCACAGCTAAAGACATTACATTCTCCAACAAACCCTACTTCAAGGTGACTAGCTTCTTTTTTTTTTTTTTATTTTGCTAGTAAATTACCAGATTTCCCAAAGATCCTTGTGTACTCTTCCTCATGAGCTAAAACTGTATAGCACTACTGGACCGCTTGAATAATAGCTCTGTTTTCATATTGGTTTAAACTATTCCTTTAATTTGTGACATTCTTCTTCTGCACAGTGAGCAGCTCTTTCTGTCTGTCTGTCTCCTCCTCACAGGGTGAGTTCTGCAGCCAGGGTGTACGTGAAAGCCTGGTGGTGAGCTTCATAAAGTTTGTGTGCCAGTCTTCCCGCCAGTTTTGCGAGAGCGCAGGAGACAAAGGAGGTTCCACTCCTCCTGCCCTTCTGTTGCTGCTGTCTCGCCTCTGTTTGGACTATGAAACCTCTACTATCTCCTACATACTGACTCTCACAGATGAACAGTTCCTTGTGCAGGTAAACAGCCTGTCACCTTATAAATGCAGCAGCAAGCACAAAATACTCTATTACACTGTAAAAAATACAGTTTTTAACAAATAGATGCTTGAATGGTACATTTTAGTGCAGTGGTGACTAATCTGTAATTTTGTTGAATTACTGTTTAGTTTTTTCCTTAAAATGGGATATTTCACTCCCAAGAGAAACCAGCTCTAACTGCAGGGCATTGTCTTTTTGAACTTTTCCAGCACCACAGTCCTGTAACACCAGTCACAACTTTATGTGCAGAAGCCAGAGAAACAGCACAGAAACTACTGAACCATTATGTCAAGGTGGGTTTTCACCTGCAGTGTTCTTACTGTGGGAAGACAGACATCAGCGCAGGAAAATAACTCTACCACAAATGTATATATTTTGTCTTTTTTTCCTTTTA